AAAAAACTGCAGGACAAGCACAAGGTCCTGAGTTTGACCACCACTAACACAAAAATAAAACAAACAAAAATAAAAGTCCTATTAAGTTCAAGTTCTTCCTCCTTTTTTTTTTTTTTCCCCCCCAGAACCAGGGATTGAACTCAGGCCCCTGCACTTGCCAAATAAGCGATTATTCCACTGAGCCCTCTACCCCACCCAATTTCTTCCTCCTTTCACCCAACCATGGCTGCCAGTTTCCAATCTGTGACTACAAAAATAAAGCTTAAAATAAGAGAAAAGAAAAGGAATAAAAATAAGAAAATAAGACAGCCAACCAAACACAGTTTCAGTTTCAAGACTGAGGAAGGAGAGACAATCAATAGAAAGCCTTTGCCTGGATCATGGTGGCAGTGTAAAGGGCCAGCCTCAGACACACCTGGCAAAAAAATGTTCACACCCTCATCTCTCTTCCTCAGTCAGTAAAAACCCATTTTTCAGTTACTGAATCTCAGGTAAGAAATGGTATCAACATTAACAGCCACATTCAATCAAAACGTCCCAAGTGACCCATGCTTGAGCTGCTCTGCCAGTGAGGCCCCCATCAAGGACCTCCTGCTTGGTCTGTCTTGACTGTTCAAACCTCAAGGCCAGGAACCCAATCTACTAACCTGACCCTATGCTCTGTCAGACTTCACGGTCCCAGGCTTTACAGAACACTCTACCTCAGAGATTCAAAGTTGCCGAAAACAGGGAAAAAGTGTTCACTTTTAAACAGATGTTCCCAGATCACCCCTGGATGAACAGAACACCAGATTCCTACTATGTGAAAATGAAAATCCGGCAAGTCATTTTGGAGGGTGAAAAAAGAAGAGTGAACCAATGTGCAGGTCACCTGGTTCTTGCCCAAACTGAGCAGAAACAGGAGCCCAGGCAGCTGGGGCCTAACAGCCAGGGCTAAGCAAAGCTAAGAACAAGAACAGTGTGGGGACAGCTCTCCCTGCCTGTCCAATTCAACCTGAGGTCTTTTGATACAACTTTCTTTTGGTGCAACAATCTTAGGTGCAAAACAACTGATTCTGTAACTCTGTATAATAAAGATGTAGAGAAATTCAATCTCCAGGTACAAGAGCCTTTTTAACAGAAAAAAAACCGAATTCTTCACAATAATCTATTATTCCGTGACAGGTGGTAGAGAGAAAAAGAAGACAGGCTAGACTGTAGGTAGCTTCAGGGCATGAAAGGAACAAGACCCAGTTCTGCTATTAAGAAGTAAGGAAGGGCTGCATCTACTAGGCCAGTGGCGCACTCACCTCCCCCACCAAGGGCTGATGTTTTCTTAAAGCCTCGATTTCTTCAGGGGCCTTAAGAGTGAGGGAGCACTTGGGGACATACTAACCCCAGGCTAAAACTGTAGAGTTGGCCTATGTCACTGCCAGACACCTTTAATCCTGCCTGGCAAACATAAAGAGAACAAGAGATCTCCCTAAACCAGGTATCTACACAGCACTGCTAACTTCTGCTTCTCACCAAGGCCTCCGGCTGCAATTGCTCCCAGTAACCTGGAATGTCCAAGCTAGCTCACCGAATCCCAGCAGCTGATTTTGAAAGCGGCAAACGAGAAACACGAGCCGGCCGCCCGGGCGAGCATCCCCGCGCCCCCAGCCTGCCCTCCCGAGACCCCGCACAAGCGCGGTGCCCGCCCGGCCCTACCGCACCGAGTCTGCATTCTCTACAGCCCGCGTCCTGCCCCGCTGACGACTCTGCTCTTGGCTGTGGCCTCGAGGCTGCCGCTGCCCGCAGCTGCTCAGCCGCCGCCCGGACGCGCGAGCGGACAGGGCTGGGCGCGGGGACGCAGGGACGCTCGCGCGGGATCTGGGCCTGACGGGAGGAGGCGCTGCCGCCGGGGTCCCGGGGACGCCCAGTCACGCCCTCTGCGTCCCGCACGCCCCCCCTGCCGGCCACCCTCCAGCTCCCCGGGGACGGCGGGCCACCTGGCACTGCCTCCTCCACTCCACCCACGCAGCAGCCCGGGGCCACCGCGCTCCCTGGTCTCTTTGGGCCGCCCCAGGGACAATGGCTCACATAGCGTCCGCCCGGCCAACGTCCCACCCTTCCCGGTAGGCGGGTGTCACGGCCGGCCCGTCGCCCAGAAGTGCAGACCGCGGCCGGGAAGATGACAGGCGAGGCGACCGAGAGCCAAGAGCGGAGACCGGGCTGCTGCTGGGACCGAGGGGTCCACGTACAAATGGCCCGCTTTCCCGGCCCGTCCGGGACCTCCGCCCACGCCGTCCAGCGGCCGCCGCATCTGCCCTCGGCAGAAAGAGACAAAGCACCGGCGCCCGAGCCCGTGGGGGCCGAGGCGGCCCGAGGGGAGGCCGGGGTACCGTCAGGTCCGGGTGCGGGTCCAGAGCCCGCGTCGGCGTCGGGCGCGGGCGCGCTGGGCACTCACCGGATCGGAAGAAGGCCGCGATGTCGGCCAGGTCCTTGGCCGCCTCCTCTGCCCCCTCGCCGGCGCCGCCCCCGCAGCCCGAGCCCGCCGCGCTGGCTACCGCGGCAGGGCCGGAGGACGCG